CCTTCTTCCTAGTCTGTCTCAGTCTATAAACTGGGCTGTTACCTATGCACCAGGTGCATCTCGCTGGGTTTTAAACACCAGAGGCTCAGCCTCAAAACCCACGTCTACATGTCACCACACCACTTGAAGAGTACAGTCTGCAGTATGGGTTACATCTCAATATAAAGAAAACAAAAATCCTCATAACTGGACCTATAAGCAGTATTACTATAAATGGAGAAAAGATTGAAATCGTCAAAGACTTCACATTGCTTGGTTCTACAATTGATGCCAATGGAAGCAGCAGTTGGGACATTACTGGGCAAATTGGCTGCAAAGGACCTCTTTCAAGTGCTGATGATCAAAGATATGTCCTTGAGGACTAAGGTGCACCTGACACAAGCCATGGTATTTTCAGTCGTCTCATTTTCATGCGAGAGCTGGACAATGAATAAGGAAGACAGAAGAAGAATTGATGCTTTTGAGCTGTGGTGTTGGTGAAGAATGCTGAAAGTACTGTGGACTGCTAAAAGAACTAACAGGTCTGTCCTGAAGGAAGTGCAGCCAGAATGCTCCTTGGAGGTGAGAATGGCCTCCTTCATCTCACCTACTTTGGTCATGTTGTCAGAAGGTACCATTCCCTGGAGAAGGATGTCATGCTTGGTAAGGTGGAGGGTCAATGAAAGAGGGCAAGGCCCTCAACGAAGTGGATTGACAAGGTGATGGGCTCATGTGTAGCAAGAATCGTGTAGGTGGCTTAGGACAGGGTGGTGTTTCATTCTGCTGTGCGTACGGTCACTATGAGTCAGAAATGACTCAATGGCACTTAACAACAATGAGGGTGTGTTACTGGCATCTAGTAGGTAGAGGCCAGGTATGCTGCTAATTATCCTACAGTGCACAGAACAACCCTCACAATAAAGAATTATTAGGGCTAAAATGTTAACAGTGCTAAGGATGAGGAACCAGGAGTTAGAGGAAGGGTTGATATGAAAAAGTACAGGGACTTATCATGTCCCAAGTCAGCAGGATTGGAGGCAAGAACAGACAAAGACAGAGGGAGCCAACTGTCTAAGGGCATTAGGTTCTCCCTAAACTTCTGGTTAAGTTCAATGAGATCCAGGGCTGTCTTCAGCTGTAGCCCTCTTAGGTTTCAGGAAAGACACTGAACTGGGGTTTGTTGAGGTTTGCTTTTTGTCTAAACAGAGTTTTAAATTTTTATGAAGTCTAGTTTGTCTACATTTTCCCTTGGGATTTCTTCTAAGACTTCTGAATTTAAGCAGTCAGTCCTGCAAGTACACTCCTCATCCCACACCAAATATTTGATAAATATTCTCTTCCATTCTCTTATCACTTTCCATTCTCTTATCAATAGCTTGCCTTCTTTAATATTCAACTGTTTAATTCAGTCTTTCCCAGAGGGCGGTACACATACTCCTAGTGCTCCTGGTGGTAATATAAGTTGGCTTTAGGAATTGTGTCAATAAACATTTTTTTTGTGTGTTAATGGTCTTGTGGGTTTTTAAAATAAATATATCACCATGACATCAAACCTGTATTTTCACAGGAGTAAGTTCCTAAGATGAGTCAACTTCAGAATTTAATTTTAGGTAATAGTGTGGGTGATAAACAAATATGGCAAACAGATGATGGAGATATGAGAATTACTAACATTTGGGTGACACTGGTTAAACCCATTTGAAATCCACTTTTCTGTCTAGAGTAGGGTAACACTCAACTGATTTCCTGCAACTTACCCCAGACCGTTCACCAACTCCTCCAAACCAATTATTTAACCTCCCATTGACAATGCTTTTGAAAATCATGTGTCAGTTCTTACACAGAACATTTTCTGGCCTATCTCTTTTGTTCCATTAATCATTTAGTCATCTTGAGTTATTACCACATTTTAAATTATTGGTTTAGAGGGTCTTCTCTCCCCAGAGAGGACTGATTTTGTGGCTGGGACAGGGGGTTGAGGGCTGGATGTGACACCTGTGGGCAGCAGCATGCCTACCAAAACCCTTAGGTCCTAACATGTTACAGGGTCAGAGCTGGCTGGACGTTCCCAGGCCCTAAGTTGGAAGGGCAAGAGCTCTGGTTCACAAGGGTGAAATGAGGGAGGAACAAAAAAATAAATATAAACATCAAATTAAAATCAGAAGGACCAATGATAGGCTGTGAATTAGATGACTAGACTTGAGTGAGACAATTTGAGCCATCTAGGATGAGACACTGGACAAATCAAGGTACCATTTGTGTTGTCCGTTCATTTGGCTGTGAAGTGGGAGACTTGCCTGTTGCCAATAATATTGAGAAGACCCTTCGATCTATCAAGAAAAGACATCTCACACACACACACACACACACACACACACACAATGTTATATATATATACTTGTATATTGATTCTAAAGAAAGCATATAGAAAAATCCAGACTCAAAACCAGTATAGAGCTGTTCATTAACGTCCCCAAGAGATTTCTCATTAAATGACGACACACCTTCAAATTCACAGCTTCCCCAGTGATTTTAATTGTTTCTTGGGAGCACACCAACACCTTAACTGAAACACTAGGTAGAACTTGAAAAAAAGGAGAAAAATACTAAGAAGTACCTTCCCAAGCCATACATCTTAAAAATCAGTGGTAAACATGATTTTGTTTAATAAAAATAATAATCAGTCTCACACACAACTTTTCTAGAACACAAGCAGAGCACAACGTGAAGTAACAGGAACATACCCATTCATCCTTCCCTAGCCTAGCGCAAAAGCAAGGCAGGGCACAACTGTGACACTGGACAGCCCTCATCCAGCTTGAAATTCAACAGATCTGAATGGATGGTCAGGCTGGAAAGGACTTTAGAATGCTTTTGCTCCAAAAGATAATCCTACAGATGAAAGAGCAATGGACTCCATTACCCACCCACCTCCTGGCCTCCCACTAAAGTGACACCACTTAATAGTATTTCTCCTGCCACCAAAAAGAAATTTCATTATCACATTTGGTCCAAGATACGGTTGGGTTAATCTTCCTGCATCTGTTGAACTTCCAGTGTCTCAACTTTGGAGAGAATGTGATAGACAACATCTCACAAGTGTGAGTGGAAGCAGGAGAAGGGAACTAGCAGAGGCTGAGTCATGCTAGAGTAGATGTTGAGTCATGCTGAGGCTATGAATGAAGGGAAACTAATCCCAAGGGGGTTTGTCTAAGTCTCAGGTGGGAATCATGGTGCTAATTGAAATAAGGTTCAAGGGTAGGGGAGGGTCCTGGGGGTTGACTTCTCTGTAAAATGCTTGGGTTTGTCATTACCCCATCTGGAGAGGCCAGAAAAAGATCTCACTCTCCTTCCGCTGTTCTCCAGGTAGGGTGTGGGATCTCTTGAGGGTTGAAGAAGGCTTTGCAAAGAAGAGCCAGGTTTATAAATAATGCATTTCCTTTGTCTTGCAGGAATTCTGGAGGCAGAGGTACAATCAGATCAGCTGTGAACAGCTTACATAGCAAATCTAATAGGTTTGTAAATTAGATTTTGTGTTCATTTGTTTTTGCTGTAAGGCAGCTATTAATCTGCCTCTCCTCTTTGCTGGATGGTGCCCTTCTTACTTAGCAAATGGATCTGTTTCATTTCACTTTGGTTTTGTATTTCTCTAATCACTTTTAGGGGTGAACTGTCTGTAGAAAATGGCATAAAATGGCCCAAGGTCTAGAGGCTATAGATGTGGAAAACACAGACGGGTAAGAGTTGCTTTCTGGAAAAAAAGCCCACCCACTTTGAAACATTAAGCCACCAATGAGCTTATCAGCAACTTGCATTTCTCCTGAGCAATGGAAATCCTGAAGTGAACCAGGACTTTCACCCAATTTCATTTAGTAATGGCTTGTCCAGAAGGTTAAGACAGAACCTAAAGCATTCAGGAACTTTGCTGAGATCTCTTAAAATATTTAGGGAGTCAACTCAGTTAATGTTAACTCTGATTGCTGATTATGCACTTCAAATTCTGAAAGAGCTTTGCCTCATATAATAATGTCTCTGGATTGGGGGCCTTTAGGCCAGTTCTTGGCCAGAGGACAGCCTGATGCAAGGAAGCCCGCAAATACTTCACAAGCCAACAGACTCAAGCTCACCACTGGCTGCTGTTGGACAGTGCTTCTTTGAGTCTCCACTCTCCACCACTCTCTATATAACTGCCCCCAATGTTCTGACCCTGGATGGTATGAATGATTAATGTGCTCAGTTGCTAGCCAGAGGCACCTCAAAAGAAAGGACTAGCAATCTAATTCCAAAAAATAAGCTACTAAAAACACTATGGAGCACAGTTCTACTGACACACATGAAGTCAATGTGAATCGGAAATGACTTGACGGCAATTAGCAATGGGTGTCTTGACCTACAGTTTTATAAGCCTAAACTTAAAGAGCAATACCAAAAAAAAAAAAAAAAAAAACTCACTGCCATCAAGTCAATTCCAACTCATAGCAGCCCCTATTGGGCTTCTGAGGCTATAAATCTTTATGGAAGTAGATCGTCCCATCTTCCTTCCCCAGAGCAGCTGGTGGATTTGAACCGCTAACCTTGGAAACCCTACTGGGCAGTTCTAGTCTAGTTTATAGGGTCGCAATGAGTCAGAATCAACTCTATGGCAGTGGGTGGATTTTAGTTCAGGAAAAGACCTGAAGCCTTTTCAATGATTTAAAAGGTAAATATGTAGCAAGTGAAGGTGATTGTGATAAAGAATTTTTTGTGAGTAGGGGGTTGATTCAATCATTTCAAATGGAGGACAGATTTACATAATATTAAAGGGCAAGTATGGGTTGGCTGACTGGAAAAGATCCATATTTGTACCCATTCCAAAGAAAGGTGATCCTACATAATGTGGAAATTATCGAACAATATCATTAATATCGCATGCAAGTAAAATCTTATTGAAGATAATTCAAAAACGGTTGCAGCAATATATTGACAGAGAACTTCCAGAAATGCAAGCTGGATTCAGAAGAGGATGCAGAATGAGGGATATCATTGCTGATGTGAGGTGGATCTTGGCTCAAAGCAAGAATACCAGAAAGGTGTTTACTTATGTTTTATTGACTATACAAAAGCATTTGATTGTGTGGATCATAACAAATTATGGATAACATTGAGAAGGATGGGAACTCTAGAACACTTCATTGTACTCATGAGGAACCTGTACGTAGACCAGGAGGCTGTTGTTTGAACAGAACAAAGGGACCCTGCATAGTTTAAAATCAAGAAGGGAGTGTGTCAAGGTTGTATCCTTTCACCATACTTATTCAATCTGTATGCTGAGCAAATAATCTGAGAAGCTGGACTAATGAAGAAAAACATGGCATCAGGATTGGAGGAAGAATCATTAACAACCTGCGATAAGCTGATGACACAACTTTGCTTGCTGAAAGTGAGGATGACTTGAAGTACTTACTGATTAAGACTGAAGAATACACTCTGCAGTATGGATTACATCTCAATATAAAGAAAACAAAAATCCTCACAACTGGACATATAAGCAGCATCATGATAAATGGAGAAAAGATTGAAGTTGTCAAAGACTTCACATTGCTTGGTTCTACAATCCATGCTAATGGAAGCAGTAGTCAGGACATCAGACGACGTACAGCACTGGGCAAATTGGCTGCAAAGAACCTCTTAAGTGCTGAAGAGCAAAGATGTCTCCTTGAGGACTAAGGTGTGCCTGACACAAGCCATGATATTTTCAATCACCTCATATGCATGTGAGAGCTGGACAATGAATAAGGAAGACTGAAGAAGAGTTGATGCTTTTGAGTTGTGGTGCTGGCGGAGAATGCTGAAAGTACCATGACTGCTAAAAGAACTAACAGATCTGTCCTGGAGGAAGTGCAGCCAGAATGCTCCTTGGAAGTGAGAACAGCCAGATTTCATCTCACCTATTTTGGTTGTCAAAAGGGACCATTCCCTGGAGAAGGATGTCATGCTTGGTAAGGTGGAAGGCTGACGAAAGAGAAGAAGGCCCTCAATGAGAAGGCTTGACACAGTGGCTGCGGCAATGGGCTCAAGTATAGCAGGGATTGTGGAGCTGGCGCAGGACCAAGCACTGTTTCGTTCTGCTGAGGATAGGGTCACTATAAGTCAGAAATGACTTGACAGCACCTAACAACAACAACAACAGGTTGGCTGTTAAGTTGGATATTCATACCCAGGGACTTACTATATAGTCTGTTAGTTGCCATTCCCTATTTATTTAAGTCTCTTGACCACATGAGACCTGCTGAGTATGCCCATTCCTTGCCCTGTGTGTTTGACTGAGGACACAGCCCCCTCTTTCCTCAACATAATTGCTTCTAGATGTCTAATGACCTCTTAACCACCAGGGAGCTACAAATGAAGCTTTCATTATACCTGGTGAAGTATAAATATGGCAGAAATAAAAGAAAAGGCCAATTATCATTAAGTTCCTCTATGTTCTACTGTGGGAAGGTGTTTTCTGAAAGGTGCTTACACTTTTGGAGAAAGAAGATCCTGCCCTTGAGCTCAAGTCCCCTAGTAACTTGGGGAGGTGCAGTCTTACGGGATGGAGCATGAAAAGTGGAAGAACACAGGCCAACCTGGATTCAGTTCTGGTGCTTGTTATCTGGGGCTTCTGTTTCCTCATTTGATTGTAATAATAATGCAATGGCTTCTTGGAGGGGTGTTTCAAGAATTAGAACTTCTGAATGAATACAAAGGAATGGTCTAGGGCCTGATACATTAATGTATTCATGGCATCAAAGTTTGACAAAGATGGCCACTGAATAAGTTCAAGAGTTAGCAGGTAAAGCAACTTAAGAATAAAATGATCCTCTAGTATCACTTGAGGATCTCTGGTGGCACAGTGTTTAAAACCCTCAGTTGCTAATAAAAAGTTTGGTGATACAAACCCAGCAGCCACTCCACAAGAGAAAGATATAACAGTCTGCTTTCATAAAAATTATAGCCTTGGAAACCCTATGGAGCAGTTCTCCCCTGTCCTTTGGGTCACAATGAGTCAGAATTGACTAGATAGCATTGGGGTTTTTTAGTGTCATTTAGGAGGTCAGGGTTGAAGGGGAAGGCTGGGGGCAGGAGGACACTTTCACTGAAGAGGAATATAATCTCCACTCACCCAGAATATGTAAAACCTGGGAGTCAAGGTGGTCTCTAGAGTTATATAACCCATCCCCTTTATTTTACAGATAAACTGGAAGAGTCTAGGGACCTGGAGTGGTTTTCCCTAGATCTCTCAGCTTGATAGTGACAGGGCCAGGGTTAAAGTCTAGTAAAATCATTGCTGGCTATATAGGATCTTGTCAAAGGTTTTACTGGGAAGTAAAGTTAGAAATGGAATTTTGCCACTATCTGTGCCATTATATAACTCTTTCCCTTTCCTACCTCTGCCACCTTTTGTCCAAGAGAATCTTAGAAACATTTTTTTTGGGGGGAGGGAGGGTTGAGCAGGGCCCCTCTGCAGAACCTTCTTTCCTGAGCAAGCCTATAGTCACCCAATAAGTCCTGGCTTCTGAAGAGCATCCCTCTAGACTGAATCTGCCTTAAGCCATAAGGTGCCAGTTCCTGGTCCCCCTTTTGTTCCTGAGCTAGTTCTTGTTGTCTGCTTTACTTTGATCTCCCATGAGAAAGCTAGCTAGCCAGTCAGGAACAGCTTGTCACCACAATATATTAAAATGTTTCTATCACATAGACCTACTGATGTAAGCTTCAGGGAAGTATTGAGATCTGCCACATCTGTGGCCCCAAGTTCACTGCTCTTGCCTCTGGCCTACACAGAGGTGGGTGGTACCAAAGGGATGCACACAGCCATCTCCTCCTGGAGCCTCACAAGAGGGCTGCCAGTGGTCTGTGCGGGGGACAGTGATGAGCCTTACTGAATTGTGGAACCGTAGAGCTAGTATCTTCCTCTTCTAGACTCCCTTTCTAAAGATGGGGAAATTGAGGCTCAGAGAGGTTAAAATGATTTAGCCATGGTCACATTTGTGAAATCTTTCTACTACATTCACAGCTTACTTTCATCAAAACAGCAAAAAGAAAAAAGAAAAAAATCCAAAAAACCGTATCTTCTATTTTTCCTCCCAGGCTCACTAAAAGGAATCCATCTACCTTACTGAAAACGCTTTAACTTTCTATCCTTTGCAAAGAAGAAAAAAAAAAAAAAAAAAAACGCACTGCCGTCGAGTCAGATCTGCTCATAGTGACCCCTCCTTGGGTTTCCAAGGCAGTATCACGACGGAAGTAGATTGCCCAACCTACCTTCCAAGGAGTGGCTGGTGGGTTTGAACCATCAGCCTTCTGGTTAGCAGTCAAACGCCTTAGGCACTACAGAAGACAAGAAATGCCAGCTGGAGGAGTCAAGAATATTGAAGAGTGGAGGTATAGGGAGTGTGGGGAGAGCTGAGAAGACAATAACCCCTCTCCAAAATGAATGTCTTTACCCACAAAAGGCAAAACAGAGCATGGGTTTAGACCTAGTTAGAGGGATTTCTTTTTCTTTTTCAATTTGACTGTCCCAAAATAAATGCAGGGAACATTGATATTTGATTTGAACTCTTCAGAGCTCCAGAATTTGGCATGGCAAATCCACTTAGCATTCTAAACCATAAAGTCTGCTCTCTCAGCCCAGACATCAGGAACTTGTGATGTGACCCACATGCCTTCTCCCACACTGCTTTTAAAGATAACATTGTAACCTATATCCTTGAAACCTACTAACATAGATTTCAAGCCTCTGAATTCAAGAAGGCTCTGAAATGCCCAGTGTTCTAAGCACACATTATGAATGCCTTGGGCAAACAAACCAGTTGCCTCCTTGATCCACTGCAGATGCCCCCATGGTGAAATTCACCAAGCTTTATAATCAAGTTCAAACCCAGCAAACATTTATTTATTGAGCACCTGCAATGCCAGACCTTCAATCCCATGGTGGCACAAATGATTTGTGCAGGACTACTAACCGAAACGGGAGCTCTGGTAGCCTAGTGCCTAAGGCACTTAACTGCTAACCAGAAGGCTGGCGGTTCAAACCCTCCTTGGAAGGAAGATTGGGCAATCTATTTCCGTAGTGATACTGCCTCAGAAACCCAAGGAGGGGTCACTATGAGTCAGGTCTGACTCCATGGCAATGGTTGTTGTTGTTGTTGACGAACCTAAACTGGTGAGTACTTGAACTCACCCAGCAGCACTGTGGAAGAAAGATCTGGTGATCTGTGTCTGTAAAGATTATAGCCAAGAGAACTCTATGGAGCAGTTCTACTCTGTAACATATGAGGTTGCCTGAGTTGGAATCAATTCAATGGCAACAGGTTTTTTTTGTTTTGTTTTGTTTATGTCAGACCACAGAGGAATATAGAGAGGAATGAAGGAGATACCCATCTTACAGTCTAATGGGAGGCTGCATGAATAATGACAGGGTGTTCAGATGACATGGTGAAGCTACAAACAAGAGAGTGATGGGAATATAAGGGAGGGCCCAAAGCTACCAGCTACAGTTACATTGCACTGTTGTTAAATTCTATTTGTTAAGTTTGTAAACCATCATATGATCCTTTGTTGCTAACACAACTGCTACTTGTAGAGTTTCTTATAAGTCGCTTGAATAAGAAATATGACTATTCTGGGAGTGACTGCTAAATTTCATTGGGAGAAAAACTGGGGAGGAGGAGAAAGATAGTTTTATCACCGCACTTCCAGTCTCCAAGGATGGGCTGTACCTGAGGGAGAGCGTTTGTACATTCTAGAAAATAGACTCCCTTCCCTTCTCAGGTAATAACTGCAATTTTGCTCTTCCTGGGAAGTTTACACTCAAGCCAGTGTAAAAACAAAAATACTAGACTTGTCATTGGCATACTAACAGATCATGTCTCCCTTTTCCTGTTTTTTCTTTTCTTTTCAGAGCTGAAGTTGTAATAAATGGCTCGTCATCACCAGCTGTTGTTGACAGAAGCAATGAAAGCATTAAGCACAACATCCAGCCAGGCTCCTCCAAATGGAGACAGAACCAGACACTCTCTCTGAGGATCAGGTACTGGTAATTACCTGTAGGACAAGAAACTGGCTTGGCCTTGATCAATAAAAGCTGCGAATTGCCTCTCTCCATAGTAAAAAAAAAGTCAGGGTAGAAAGAAAATGTTTACCTCCCACTGAGGCAGGTTTCATCTGTAAGCAATCTATTGGGAATAAAAACCCGAGGCAAGTCCAGCAGCCCAACAGGTGTCTGCAGCAACTTGACTGGAGAATGGTAGGACAGCCTGCGGAGGGGCTGGGTCCAGAAGGAGCTCAGGTCAACAGCAGTGAGGATCTGGGCAAGCAGGCCACAGATGTCCTCTCCCAGAAGGAGCAAACTTCCCTGGCCTGCCTGGTATTGTGTCCATCTCTTGTGGCAAGTCCTTGTGGCTTGAGTAGCCTGCCCCCTCCCTCACAACATGAAAATGGAAAATCATAACTGGTCCTCAAGTGACCCAGGAACCGACATGCTACCTGACCCCAGAGGAAGAGATCTGTTCAGCCAGAGAGCAGCTCTCTTTCCTGAACTCTGCATAGGGGTATGTTGTAAGTACTGCATGGTCAGGTGGTGGAATGGGGAACTGTCAACAAGCAAGTACAGCTTGACTTTGATATAGCCATCACACCTGACCAAGCAAATATTGGTCAGTATAATTCAACTGGAGTCCCTGGGTGGAACAAAAGGTTCATGTTCTTGGCTGCTAACTGATAGGTTGGAAGTTCAAGTCTACCCAAAGGCACCTCAAAAGACAGGCCTGCCAATGTACATCTGAAAAATCAGACACTAAAACTCCTATGGAACACAGTTCTACTCTGACATACATGGGGTTGCCATGTGTCAGAATCAATTCCATGGCAACAGGTATGGTTGGTTTTATAATTCAATAATCCATTTATAGGCACTGTGCTGGGGGTCGGGGTACAGAGGTGAATCAGACATGCTAGGCAGGGAGACAGAACTATAAGCAAAGTTCTGATGGTGCAGTGTGATATGTACATTAGCCAATATCTGATCTTATAGATATGGGAACATAAAGAGGTAATGCTAATGTTTTGTAAGAGGGCTGGCTAGAAAAGGTTTCTCAGGAACAATGAAGTCTGAGCAGCACATTGTCTCTGCATAGTGCTAAGATGCAGGAGGTAGGTTATGGGGGTGATGAAATTAGTGCACTAGGCAAGACCAGATGGTGGAAGGCCCTGACTCTTGTGTCTGACCTTCTCAAGACATCACTATGGAAAGCAAGGGGCCGAGGCACAGCAGCCAACCTTGACCATAGCCACCCAAAGTGTCACCACACAGGGCAAAGATCTGGCCCCTTCAGATAGTCTCACTGTCAAAATGAGAATGCCCTACGCCCTAGTTTTTGAGGCTTAGTTTTGAGACACAAAGGGGTATGAGGAACAGAGGGGTGAGATTTAGGAACCTGGTAGCTGAGAAACCATCTGAAGGAGCTGGCTCTGGTCTCCACCATTCTGCTACCTTCCACCCCTTTCTCTGTCTCTTCTGAGGCCCATCAGTGCGGTCCTAGAGCTGCAAGCCTAGGACTGATCCCTTTAATACAGGACACCATGGAATCACTGAAATCACCTGTATCCATTTCCTAAGGCTGTCAGAGCAAACTATCACAAACTTGGTGACTTAAAATAACAAAAACATTCTCTCACAGTTCCAGAGGCTAGAAGTCCAAAAGCAAGGTGTCAGAGGCTACTTGCTTCTGGAGGCTCTAGAAGAGAATGCTTCCTTGGTTCTTCCAGTGTCTACTGGCTCCAGACATTCCTTGCCTTGTGGCTGCCTAACTCCAGTCTCTTTCTCTGTCTTCACATAGCCTTCTCTTCCATGTGTGTCTCTCTTCTTCTGTCTCTTGTAAACACACTTGTCATTGCATCTGAGGCTTACTTGGGTAATCCGGGATGATCTCATCTCAAGATCCTATTGTAATTACACCTGAAAAGACACTTTTTCCAAATAAGGTCACATTCATAGTTTGGGGGTAAGGAGGTGGGCATGTCTTTTGGGGACCACCATTCAACACACAACACCACCTGTTTGTGAAATCCTGCTGAATAAGTTCCCCTCCTGTCCCACTCTCCCTTTCTCCTGTCATTGGGGAAAGACATGGACCCACCCTTTCAGAGATCAGGCTGTGGTCTCCATAGTGAGCCTGCCAACACAGACAGAGGCACCTCGGTAAGAACAATGTGCCTTCACACAGGGGAAAAAGAATTCCTTCAAACTTCAGTCCGTTAATCACCAAAATTACTCATTATAAAATATTCTGCGAGTGGTTTGGAATGATTTTAATAATTGACCGTAATTTCTCATAATTATTTAGAAATTAATTCACTCACAGAGGTATTTATTTATGGGCTTTCTGGGGAGTCTGCTTTTAAGTTCTTTGGGGTATGTAATTGTAAGAGTCTTAGCTATCTCCAAACGACATTAGTTTGTCAAGTTGCATAATCCCTGGTAAGGCCCAGTAAATAAAAACAATGCCTCTGTTTTCCATCAGGAGGTACAAATTATTCAGCAAGGGTTGTTTTCTCTGCATGATAGCAAAAGATCCAGGTCATTCATAAAGACAAGTGGAAGAAGAGTACAGGCCCTGCCAAGAGTTCTAGCTGTCCCTTGGCTGCACAAGGGGCTCCTAACCCCAGACACATTAGAATCACCTAGGGATCTTGTTAAAGAATGCCAATGAAAACCTTATAGATCACAACAACCCAATACACAACCAGTCACGGTGATGGCACAGGACTGGGCAATGTTTCATCCTTTTTGCACAGGGTCACTATGAGTCAGTGGCCTACTCAACAGCAGCTAACAACACAAACCACAACCCCTCACATGATCAGAATTTATGAGGGGTCAGTGTGGAGCTTCTGAATTCTTTATAGTTACCCAAGTGACTGAGTGGGGTACACCATAGGCTGTGAACCTCTCAAAGCCATCCAGCTCTCAGGCATCAGTGTTACCACCTGTGCAATAGGGGCACCAGCTTGCGGCTTTTCACATTTGCAAAGTGCATGAAGATTTTATCCCTACAAAGCTCCATGGGAAAAAAAGTTTGCTGTCATTGCATCCTTTCTAGAGAGGCGATCATTGCAGAAAATGAAATTAATCTCATCTGATCTAGTTACCAAATTTCTTTCTATGACCTAAATCATTTCTAAAGATCTTTTGGATGATTTATACAGTTCTTTATCCACCACCAAAAGGAGACCCAGATGTTTCCTGACTCCACCCCATCTCATCTTTATATGTTGCTGGATGTTTTGAGAACTTTTTCCTTAAATGAAATGAACTCTTGAGCCTAGAGAGCATCTTTTGATCTCATTTGCTTTGAAACAACTGAAAAGAACTCTTGTCTGTGGGATCAAGAAGTGCCAGTATTTACAAAGCCTATGCTCTGGTAGCATAGTGCCTAAGGAGGGGTCACTATGAGTTGGGGTCGAACGGCAAATAACAACAACAACAAGATGCTAGTCAGAGATTTGGTGAGGAGGGGACACATTTAACAAATGGACAAGCTCACAGGATGGCAGGCCATATGCTCAGTCTCTTAAAGATAGAATTGTTGATATACCTCACAGTGTCCAGATCCTCATTCCTTGCCCTGATATGACCCCTTTGTACAGAGAAGGCTTCCATGGAAGAAAATGTACCAATCGGGAATGAGGCACACGTCATCCTCATTTCCTGTTCCTATTTTAAGACTTCTTGTCCGATGATGACAGAATCTCCCTTCCTGAGGAGGATGGAGGGAGGTCAGCTGCCCCAGTTTGCCCAAGATTGAAGAGCTTCCTGGGATGCAGGATGTTCAGTACTAAAACCAAGACGGTTCCTGGACAAACTAGCTGTGTGGATCCTCCTTTTTTCTGGGGCCTTCTATGATGAGCTCACTTCACACATAATGGAGTAATTTCCCAGGGCAGTTTTCACCTCTGTAGGAAGAGGGTGTAACCACGGCAACTAGCTCAGGCCCCTTTCTGACAGTTCTTCCTGAAATCCACTCTCTTAGGACATCTGAGCTCTTAGCATGCTGTAGGTGTTTGCTGGATTGCGACAGCCCCAGCCCTGTAGGGCAATGGTAGGACAAGGAAAGCTAGGACTTGCAGTGGGCATCTGGTAGGTAATAGGGAGACATTGTCCTCATGTGTGTTTGGTTTTTATAGGAAACAAATATTAAAGTTCCTGGATGCTGAGAAGGACATTTCTGTCCTTAAGGGGACACTGAAGCCTGGAGACATTATTCATTACATCTTCGATCGAGACAGCACAATGAATGTGTCCCAGAACCTCTACGAGCTCCTCCCCAGAACCTCTCCACTGAAGAACAGGCACTTTCAGACTTGTGCCATTGTAGGCAACTCGGGGGTCTTGCTGAACAGCGGCTGCGGGCCGGAAATTGACACGCACAACTTTGTCATAAGGTAACCACGACAAGTGCCTTTGTCCCAAAGCAGCAGTGTATATTTAAATCATGCATTGCCAGCTGTCCCAAGAGAGTGAAACAAGAACACTGGTCTGGTTACTCCCTGCGCAGCTGTTCTCAACATTAGTTACATATTTGCATTACTCAGGGAGCTTTTAAAAGTCCCAGTGCCCAGACTGTACTTCAGACTAATTAAATCAGTCAAAGGGGCATGTAACCTAGGCAGCCCAGGTGAGTTCAGCCAAGGTTGGGAATCACTGATCTGAAGCAGAGTTAGGCAAACTATGGTTCTCTTCCTGCTTCAGTAAATAAGGTTTTATTGGAACACAGCCACACCCACTCATTTATGCATTGTCTATGCTGCTGGAGTCACTGGGTGGTGCAAACTGTTACGGAGGTTCAAGTCCACCCAAAGATGCCTTGAGAGAAAGGTTTGGCAATCTACTTCCAAAACATCAGCCATTGGAAACCCTATAATATAGTTCTGACACACACATAGGGTCATCATGAGTCAGAATTAACTCAGCTACAACTGGTGATGGCTGCTACTTTTACATGGTAACAGCAGATTGAGTAGTTGCAACAAACAGACTATGTAGTCTCCAAAGGCTAAGATATTTATTATCTGGCATTTTGTAGAAAAAGTTTGCCAAACCCTTGACTTACAACCTAGTGTTGAAGATTAGTAAGAAAATCATCTTCTGTGCCAGTTGTTGGTCCAAGTTTGCAAGGTGGTTGCCCTTCAGATATCTTTATTATCCTATGGTCAAAATCTAGAATGTGCTGGGGAGACAGATCAACTTGGATATAGTACTTGACCATTGTTTTCTCTAAAACATTAGCTCTTACCTTTCAGCCACCAGAGACATTTGAATACATGTATTCTTGGTCCTAACACCTGACTCCAACTCAGACAAGCTTGGAAACAAGGCATTGCTGTTCCCTGGTTAAAAGTAGGGCACACAGAACCTCAGGTTTCCTTCCAAACAGCTCCCAGCTCTGGCAGAACTGCATACCACATCTCACGTTTCTGCTGGGATAGTTCTGCTGCAAAGAGCACCTTGTTCTGGGGCTTTGGGAAGTGACATTATCATAGAGTGCCTTGACCCTTTGGACATGGGAAAATACAGTGTATTTACTCTTGAACCCATGTGATTGAAGAGATACCACAGGCTTGCAGCCAAAGTCAGGTTATTTGAACTGTCCTTGGCTAGGTTTTGTCTGTGCCAGGTGTATCCAATGGCTCAATCCCTATTTTTCCATCTAGAAATTGGTGAGGTGATGGGAAAGGAAGAAAAGAAGTATGACACGTTTGTCTGATTGGATATCAGAGAAAGCATGAAGGTTGAGTGAGGTGGGCATTACAAGTGAGGGTGTAGGGCAAAAGTGACCTCCTGATAGGGTCAGGTCACCTGCTGTGATGTTGGTCAGTGTTGAGGGCAGCCTTTATGACCTATTGTCACACTGATAGCCATGCCTCTTCATTTGTCACAAGTCATGAGTTTCAACAGTGAGTTTTCTGAGCTTTACTGGGCTCTGCTCCAGGAATTTACAGAGGAAACAGCAAATTCTGGCCAATAGTTTTCTTTCCAGATACTTACACAGCAAGTGTGATGTCTGAAGTCCAGTCTGGGCTCTGCTGCCCATTTGTCATAGGCCTTTCCAGGCCTCAGTTTCACCATCTATAAAATTAGTGGGTTGGCCTGACTGACTTTGAGGTCATTAGGAAACAAAATGCCCAGTGCTTCTCAAATGTTAACATGTACAAATCATGCTTATTAAGATACTGACTCATCAGGTCTGGGGCAAGGCCTTAGACTCTGTATTTCTAACAAGGTCCCAGAGGATGTCACTGCTCCTGAAGCTTTGAGGAGCATGGCCGTGGCTTGCTGTGCCTCATTCCTTGGTGCAATGCCCATACCTGTTCACATATACATAGAAAGAAGCACCTGAATTTCCAAGGAGAGAACTACCCAAATGCTATTGTCCTTTGACCTGTAGATATATGTGTGTGGTTCTCATAGATTACTATGTCTCTGGAGTAGAACTGAGAGATATTTTGGGAGAAGATTACACAGCCCTACCATGCATAAACCTCACATTTGATAATAGGGATATGGGGGTAAGTGATAGCCCTGACTGTTTTGCCCATCAGAACCAGCCCCTGGAGTTCTCCTATCCTGGGGACTCTTCCAGGCCCTCCAGTCAGAGATAAATTATAGGCCAAAGCACCACACAAAGACTAAGTGGAGTGCAGTCCTGTGAGCAATAAATGAGACAATATGCTCAATATCATGCACAAACACAACAGGCACATTCACATTAATTTCCTTTCCTGTCTTCCCTTGGGGTCAGTAGGGGTCACCTCATGTTTCTGCACACATTTCTGGTCTCAGGTAGCTGGTGCTGCTGTAACACAAGTACTCACTGCTGTCAAGTCGGATCTGACTCATAGCAATTCTTCCTTGGGTTTCCAGGCAGTAGCACCATGGAAGTAGATTGCCCAACCTTTCTTCCAAGGAGTGGCTGGTGGGTTTGAACCGCCAGCCTTCTGATTAGCAGTCATATGCCTTAAGCACTACCACTAGAACTTCCGTAACACAAGTAAGTGGCATTAAAGAATAGAAGTGCATTTTCTCACAGTTCAAGAGGCTAAAAGTCCGAATCATGGTGCCAGCCATATCAATTTCTTCTTTGTCAGTCATACCAGGTGTTTCTTGGTTCCTCACATGATGCCTTTCTTCCCCCGCATGTATGCTCATGTCTTTGAGTCTAATCTGCTCCTTTTATAACTCAGAAGTGATTAGATTTAGAACCTACCCTACTTAGGTAAGATCTAACAACATAACAAAAACTCTATTTCCAAAGAGAGTCACATTTACGAGTACAAGGCCAGGAATTCAGCACATATTTTGGGAGAATACAATTCAATTGTAACTCCTCTCTTGTACTGTTTGTCTCTTTGAATGGTCTCTTTTTGCTGACCCATATATCTCCACCTGCCCTGCTGCCTCCCAGACCATGAACACCTCCAGATCAGAGTGGTATGTCCACATTTGACTTTCCACTGCCAAGGCTGTGCCCTGCACAGAGCCCCAGACTGCCCAGGTGCTGATATTAACACCCAGTCCTCTTGGGCCTGTGGCATAGGCTCCAGAGGTGTCACCAGGCCATTCCATGCCCTTGTAATGTTTAGCCACAGTCAGCGACAGCAAGGCCAGGGAAATGGCTGAATGAATATTTTAGGGGGTTCAGTGTGAAAAGTAAGCAGATGTGAGAGTCAGACACACCTGAGTTTGAATCCTGGTGGCTCCCTTGCTAGCTGTGTGACTTTGGGCAAGAGAATTTGCACACTCTGGGCCATTGTTTCCTCATCTTGAAAGTGATGTTGATGAAAACCAGGTCAGAATTAAATGTGCTCATTCTGTGGAAGGACCAGGCAACATACTAGGTGCTCAGTAAATGCTAGTTTCCTTCCTGATTATTCTGCTTTTTCTCTCCAAGTGTTGAAGGAGTAAAGTTCTTGCATATAAACGGGGAAGTGGTTTCTTCTGAATCTCATCATTTGGCGATGACTTCTGGCCCCTGGTCCTCACATCTCTAGCCTGTGTTCTACACGTACTTAGTTGAATTTCCAAGATTTATCTTCATTGGCTGAGGAGCTTTTCCACTGTCAAATCCTCTGTGCAGGCAGGCCCCTCAGCACCCTTGCTGCCATCCTAGGCCCACCAAGAAGCCCAGCTGTGCACTTCAGGGCAGGACCCAGGAAGACAAGAGGGTCCCCCCAAAAGCAGACCTCTGGTGGAATAATAAAGGCTGCCCACTCAGGGTCCCTGACTAGCTCAGCAAGAGATTGCAATGGCCTCTTACCTTGTCCTCCAACACCCAATTCCATCCCCACTGATGATATACAACAAAATTTAATCCTACTATTGTCTAATTGTTGCCTAAAATGCTAATCTGTTCACATCACTCTCCTGCTTATGAGCCTTCAGTGGTTCCCTATGGTCCTCAAAACCAAGTCCCTGATACACAAGTCCTATGATATCTTACCTTGTGTGGCTTTCCAGCCCATCTTCTTGCCTCTCCCTGAATGCTTATGCTGTTTTACACCTCTATGCCTTTGTATATATTTCCTTTACTTGAAGGAACATAGCATGGTGTTTCCTAAAACTGCCTGACTTAGCTGAGGAGCTAGTAAAAAATAATTATCAATTCTTAAGGTCACCTACTGAATCTGAATCTTCAGGTGAGAGATCTGGGAAATCTTAACAGTGTCCCAAGTTGTTGATAATTATGGTCTAGCATGCTGGAGGAGCACTCCCCTCTTATAAGTTGTCCACCAGTGGACTCCTGCTCATTCACCCCTCCAGACTTCCCTCAGTCGTTACCACCTCTGGGAAGACTGCCAGGTACTACTCCTTCCCCATAAATACTGATAACAACAGGTAGCATTTTCTAAGTCCTTACTATGGTTGAACAGTGTTCTAAGCATTGGGTGTGTAGTGGTTCGTTTATTCCTTGTGAGAGGGTGCAGTTGTGATATCCATTATAGCCAAAGGAAATATCTAAGCTAGCTATAATAGATAGAAAGATATCCAGATGCCTAGATAGATAGATTACTCTTCCTTAGCTATAAGGAAGCACAGAAAGGTTGAGGAAGTTGCTCAGAGTCACACAAGTAGAAAATATCAGAGCTGAGGTTTGAAACTGGGAGTCATTCGTCAGAGCCATTACTCTGTCACCTGCCCAGTGCATCATAATCTTGTGTACTGAGGATTTACTTGCTGTTTTTCTCCTCTCCTATGTATTGAGCTCCAGAACACAAGCATTTTACATACCTGGGGCCTAACAGAATGCTAGGTATATGGTAAAAGCTTAGTAACTATTTGTAGCAGCAGAAAAAAGAAGAGGATGACAAAAGTAGCCAGTGAGAACAGGAAGATGTTCTGAATCTTTGCTTAGGGATTCAGAGGAAGAAATGAAAACCAAATGATAGTGTCTCAGTTTCCTCAAAGGGACTGTGTCTCCTTGTTTTCCAATAGGTGCAACTTGGCCCCAGTACAGGAGTATGCCCGAGATGTGGGGCTGAAGACAGACCTGGTGACCATGAACCCATCAGTCATCCAGCGGGCCTTCGAGGACTTGGTCAATGCCACTTGGCGGGAGAAGCTGCTGCAGAGGCTACACAGCCTCAATGGCAGCATCCTGTGGATCCCTGCCTTCATGGCCAGGGGTGGCAAGGAGCGTGTTGAATGGGTTAATGAGCTCATCCTGAAGCACCATGTCAACGTGCGTACTGCATACCCCTCCCTGCGCCTGCTGCACGCCGTCCGTGGGTGAGTGAACTAGAGGCTTGGTGTGCAGCATTACTTTCAGATGCATTGCCATCCCAGCCCCTCCACCCTTTAGCTGTGTGTGACCCTAGCTAATTGCCTGACTTTTGTGAGCCTTCCTTTCTTGAGCAATAAGGGGTTTGGCAAATGGGTTTCATCTGGCATGCCAATTTTCACCAATTGGACATGCTTGCCTAGAGAGTTGTGCTGAGAAGGATCCTAAGGCTGTACCAAGGCTTAGTGGAAACAGATGCCATGAGCATAGAAGGGAAGATGTTGGCTGGTGTGTCACATGTCTGCCATCCCAGGGAGGTGATTTCCAAGAAAGAGAATCAGGTTTGGATGGACTTGGCTTCAAATATATCTTCAAATAAGTCACCTTAAGTTCTCTAAAACTGTTTCTTCATCAGTTCAATAGGAGTAGTGATAATAACATCAGAAGGTGTGAAGATTAAATGAGGTACTGTATGTAAAATGTGAAGTAAAATTAGTAAAATGCCAGGCGAAACATTCAGTCAGTGTTATCATCTTTTTCATCATCCTCATTGCTATATCATCTCTATTTCCCAGTGTAATTTTCTCTCACTCTGCAGAGGACATTTTGTTGACAAGACTTCTCTAAAGGAGGGTCTGATAGCATATGTTTTTGTCCACAAGGTCCTTTCCCTGAGATAGAGGAGTAACTTCACCTAAGGGATAAGAAAGAGATAAACCCACCCAAATCCACTGCCATCAAGTCGATTCTGACCCACAGCATCCCTATAGAACAGAGTAGAACTGCCCCATAGAATTTCCTGCTGTAAATCTTTAAGGAAGCACACTGCCTCATCTTTCTCCCACAGAAGGGCTGGTGGCTTTGAACCACCAACATTCCGGTTAACAGCCAAATGCTTTAACCACTGCACCACCAGAGCTCCTTTTAAGGAGGTGTGGCAGTTAAGGTTTTGTGTCACCTTGGCTGGGCCTGGTTTTGAGTGTCTGGGTAGCTGGATGTAGTTTATTGCCCATGATGAGATTGGTAATTAACTCCATGGTGAAATCTACTGGAGCAGCTGAGTAGCCTTAGGGATGTGGGCTACTTCCTGTATATAAGAAGGAACTTTAAGGAAGGTCTCCAGCTTTTGGCGTGCTTGACTCCTGCATGGAGCCGAGTTGTTACTCAGCAGCTGTCTGCTGATCTTGGCACTCTTAATGAACTTGAATCAATGGCCTGCCCTGTGGTTTGGTAGTATCAGGACTGTGCCTTTTTATCTGTTGGCCATGGGCTTGTCAGCCTCAGCAGCCAGCATCTGCCTGAGTGAAGAAAGCCTTTAGCTCCAGTGGGCCAGGAGCAACAGGCAGAACTGAAGTCCAAGGTTGAGGGGCTTTCATCCAGCCCCTGGAGCTTGGCACTTTGAACTCCATTTGGAGTTCTCCAAAGTGTGAGAGAAAAAACTCCTGTTTGTTAAAGCCATCCCATTTGTGGTATTTTCTGTTAGAGCAACACAAGGTAACCAAAACAGAAGGAGAGAGGAAGAATTAAAGCATTGCAACCCACTCTCCTTGAGAAGATTTCTGAGCAGGATTGGAGTAACTAGTCATGTGAGGGTCTTCCTATAATACCTGGACATCCAATTCCCAAAAGAATTCCACGATTGAAGGAAAATGGATAGGGAGCATTGAGGAGTGTCTAAACTATTCCTACTAATAAGAGGATGTCCACCTAGGCAAGGCTGTTCAACAATCCTGGCTGAACAAGTTGTCATTTCCAGCCTCCAGTTTGTTTGCTTCCATCCGTGTGACCTGGCATAGGCCCAGACACTTCAACCAATTACCCAGCTAGGAAAAGTACCAGCACTCATTCATAGTAGCCACCAGAGAATAGTTTGGATATTAAACATGTATTCATTCTATTTTAGTTATATATTACACTGAAGTAAATCAGTCCAAAACTTAGTAACTTAAAAAAAAGAAGAAAAGCAAACACTTTATTATTTTTCACAATTTCTTTTGGTCTCAAATTTGGGATAGGCTCAGCTGGATGATTCTAGCTCAGGGTCTTTCATTATAGTCCAATGGTGGCTGGAGCTGGAATAGTGGAGGGCTAGATGAACTGGGGTTTGACCATCCATCTCTCACTCTCTGTCCTTCCCTCTCTCTCTCTCTCTCTTTTCATGTGATCTCAGGATTTCATCATATGGTTTCTCTGTATGGGCTAGAATGGGCTTCCTCACAGCATGACAGCCACAGAGCAGTCAGACTACTTACATGGTGGCACAGGCTCCAGCATAAATGTCCCAGAGTTGGGGGCAGGGCAGAAACTGCATCACATTTTAAGACCACATAGTGTCACTTCTGCCATAATTGGTTGGCTGGCAAGTTATTAAGGTGGCCCAGGATCAAGAAGAGGGGACATAATTCCCACCTTTCAAGGGGAGGAGTGTCATGGAATTTGCAGACATGTTTAAAACCTTAACAAATTCATTCAACAAACATCTATTGAGTGCTTACTAAGCACCAAGCTCTGTTCTAAACATTGTGATACAGAATGAATAAACAAAACCCTCGCTTTCCTAAGTCCTTACATTTTTGTAAAATGTAGGAGAAGATAAATTAATCAAGTAAATAAGATACTTTTAGATAGTGCTATCAGGAAAATAAGAGCTCTGGTGGTGTAGTGCCTAAGGCATTTGACTGCTAACCAGAAGGCCAGTGGTTCAAACCCACCAGCCACTCCTTGGAAGGAAGATTAGGCAATCTACTTCCATAGTGATACCGCCTTGGAAACCCAAGGAGGTGTCGCTATGAGTCAGATCCAACTCAGCAGCAGTAAGTTTGTTTGTTCGTTTGTATCAGAAAAATCTCTAGAAAGATGTGGGTATGCACTAAGACCTGAGTGTGAAATGGGCACCAGTTATGCACAGATCTGGAGGGCAGAACCTTCCAGGAAGAGTGACCCCAAGTGCAAAAGCCCCAAGGCAAGGACATGTGCTCATGCATCAGCAGAAGACAAGTGTGGTTGGAGCAGTATGTGCAAGGAGAAAAGGGTTAGGAGATGATGTCAGCAAGAGACGCAAGGTCTAAAATATACATAACCTGTGGACAACTAAAAGGCATTTGGATGTTCTACATTTGAGGTGAGTGGCAGGATCCGATTCGTGCCTTAAAGAGATACTTCCAGCTGTTTGTGTAAAATAAACCATAATGGGGCAAGAATGGAAGGAGGGGCATTTGTTGAGAAGCTGTTGCCATAGTCTAGGCCAGAAATAAGTGTGGATTTAACTAGAATGGTGGCAAAGGGAATGTAACAGTTTCATCAGATTTGCTATAAAGTATAGGGGTAGAGGCATCAGGATTTGCGGATGAATTCTACTTAAGATGTGAGAGGGAAAAAAATGCAGAATGACCCTTAGGATTGTAGTTTGAGCAACTGAGAGGATGACAGGGGTGGGAAGTAAATTTTTTCTATGATAGGAGAAATGCAGAAGCCCATGCAGGTTTGGGGTATTGAGAAAATAAGTTCTTTCTTGGGCGTATTAAGTTTGAGATGCCCATTACAAATATACCTACCCCTCCATACTCCTAACCTCCAAGCTTGTGGTTGAGCCCTGCACCCCATTACCCATCTAACCACACAGCCCACCACAATCCTTCTCTAGTGTCACAAGGGAGCCCAGGGTACAAACTCCTCACTGACTGGGGGACACTGGGATGCTTTTCACTGGCCCTTAACATAACTCAGTGAGATCCTGGGAAGCCTTCTGACAACTAGAGGACTCTTGTTGTCTTCATAGAGGTTACTCCTGCAGCACCCAAGCCTATGGCCAGCACTGATCTCATGATGGTAAATATTGCCATGTGAAACCCATTGCTCCCAAGAGCCCTAGAGAGAGGTTCAGTAAGAGGCAGCCACACTCATGGCTGATAGAGTCAGAGTGATGCCTATTTGGACACAGCGCCCCCTAGGGCCACATTCCTTACCCTGGAGGTTGACCTGCCAACACTCCCTCCAGCATCTTCACATGCCGTCCCTGTCACAGAGTGGTCTGCCACAGCAGCTCTGATCCCGTGGACTTAGGCTCAGTGATGCACATATTGTTTCTCCTGAGATGGTTTGGGGGTCAGAAGGGATGAGAGAAGGGGAAGGACTGCCTTTTGGTAAAGAGAGAGAAAGTGCCTTAGACAGGGAACGGGCAACCACCTGGAAGGAGCCTAGGAAGCTAGAGCTATTTCCAGCTGTAATTGACTCACTTTCATCTGTCAAAATAGCATTAAGCTCCAGTAATCAGCCCTTTAAACAAATGGGCTGCTAATCCTGAGATAGTAACATCTTCCTTTTCAGAAACTCCTGGGAGGAATGAGTTCAGGCGAGAAGGTTGGTGCCGGCCCATGCTTTTAGCAAGGGGAGGAGTATTTGGAGAGAGGAGCTTCAGGTGTGTTGGAATGGATTTCTGCCAATGATTCTCTCCCTCCATGGGGCAATGGGACCTTATAGGGTCCAGGCTCCTATAAGGGCACCAGTGAGAAGATGGGCAGCATCTTTGATGAAAGGAAGGGTTCGCCTCTGTCTTGGAAAATAATTTGCACAACAATCTTGTTTCCTTTTTAAAAAGTATATTGCCCAATAAACCACCTGTTTGTGGAGTGTGTGGAGAGGGGGAGAAAAACATTTGAGGCACCCTAGTATCTTCATTCTGCAAATGAAGAACTTAATGTTCAATCTAGTTAGGTGATTTGTCTGAGGTCACCCTGCCAATAACTGACAGAACTGAAAACTATGTTATCTGATTCTAATGCAATGCACCAGCTGCAGGAAATATTTGTACCCATTCAGTTCTGGATTTGGGGCCCAATAAGTTCAGTGGGCTGGGGGTCACCATAGTAGAGAAGTGGCACATACGCAAAAGCTGGTGGTGCATCAAGGGAAGGAGAGGAGTCTAAGGCTTCAAAGGTCTCTACTCTTCCCACTGCCCCTTTCTCATAGCATTGCTAGAAAGCATTGCTGTTTACCACTGGTAAATCTT